CGGGTGATGGTGTGGGGGGTGATGTGTGAGAGGGGGATTGATGGTGAGAGGGGGGTGATGGTGTGGGGGGTGATGTGAGAGTAAGGGGTGATGTAAGAGGGAGGGGGTGATGTGAGAGGAAGGGGTGATGTTTGAGTCCCCAAAAATCTGTGCATTATAATATTGTGTGGATAGTGTGTGAGGGGGTTGATGGTGAGAGGGAGGAGGGTGATGTGAGAGGGAGGGGGTAATGTGAGAGGGAGGGGGTGATGTAAGAGGGAGGGGGTAGATGTGAGAGGGGTGATAGTGAGAGGGAGGGGGGGTGATGGGGAGAGGGAAGGGACTAAATACCTTTTTTTTATTCCCTGATGGTCCAGCTTGAGCTGCCTGGTGGTCCGGTGTTTATTATATCCAGTCTGCAGCTTCACAGAGCTGCAGACCGTTTATCTCGCGAGACCTGTCAGAGCGTTGCCATGGTAACCCACAGCAACGCTCTGACTGGCTAGTTCTCGTGAGACACACTGTCTGTGATGGCTGGCACTGACCGAGGACCCGACACAGTCTGCCCTAAGGTGGCTTAGGCGGCTGGAAGCCCCAGCCAGCACGTCCGCCTAAACCGCCTAATTAGAGAGCCGCCTCTGAGGAGAGGCTTCCCTTGTTTGGGTTTCACACCAGGACCTCACGAACGGAGGCTAGTCGGGAGAGGAGCCGTTGTGCGGGTCTCTGGGATTGGTGTGGACACTATTGGGGCACTGGTTAGTTTGGCAGGCTTTCCTGTACCTGAGGGACAAAGAAACTAGCTCTATTCCCGAGGGCGGGCTTTTCTGTGTCTAGGAGACAAAGGGACGATCCCCTTTCCCCGCGCCTGGACTCCCAGGCACAGAGGCTCCTGGGAAGAAGACCCCCTGGTGTCTGGAAACCCTGTGTTTTAGTGGCAGACAAAGGGATAGCAACCCCCCGAGGTTGTGTTGTACTTCCAGAACTCAGTCTTGTCCAGTTACTGGGGGGAAATGAGTAGCTGTGCATTATAATATTTAACATAATATTGTATTTCATTACAGCATACTTTATTATGTCATGGGTTAGAGTCCCATGTTAGGTATCTCATGGCTCTAAATGCCGGCGATCGCGAGTCCCCCTGCTGCTGATCTGGCCCTCCTTGCTAGGACCTCGCAACCACATGGACGGAATAGCCGTCCATAGCAGTGCCAGCAGGGGGAGTGCCTGGATTAACGGGTAGTCCCCTTGTTGACTGTAAAAAGTTAAATAAAGGTTAAAAACTGTTCAAAATAAAATATATACTTAGATCATATATATAGTACATATATATGATCTAAGTATATATATACTTACACATACATACACTAAGTGTATTTTAATATTAATATATATAATTGTATATATTAATATCAAAATACACGTAGAATGATATTATATATATAAAATAAAATAAGTATATAAAATAATAAAAAATAAATAATTAATATATATGTACCGTATTTTTCGCTCCATAAGACACTTTTTTTCCCCTCAAAAGTGAGGGGAAATGTCTGTGCGCCTTATGGAGCGAATGTGAAGATTTACTTACCTGTCTTGGAGCGTGGGCCGGCTTCACAGCGCACTCCGCGGTCCAGGAACTTCTATTTCAGGTTCCGGTTTCCGGCGGGACTGAAAGGAAGTGCACACTCAACCCCTCCCCCCCACACCACCATAGGGGCTCGGAACGTTAATTAATTTACCGGATTTCGTCGGCTTCCAATCCCCCCCCACCGGCGCTATTTACACCGGGCTCATTAGGTGACTCCGGCCTCACACAATAGAGGGAAGCAAAGGCTATCAGCCATGCAACCCAGGAACCTTAGCACGCGATTACCATAAGAAAGGGCATCACTCACTCGGACAGAGCTCCCTCCACAGCCTCAGGTCTGCCAAGCCGGAAAGCACGTCCAAGTACAGCACTGCAAACTGCAAAGCAGGTTGTAGCCACTAGAGGCAGTATACACCTACCACTCAGGCATCCAATAGGGGTTAATTATACCTGGCATATTTTAAAGTATGTTATATGGGTAAATACAAGTCATATCAAATATTTGCTTAAAGGACCACTATAGTGCCAGGAAAACATACTTGTTTTCCTGGCACTATAGTGCCCTGAGGGTGCTCAGGGGTATTCAGGGGTATTACCAGGCCAATATTTTGTCATTTTGTTATACAGGTCTACGGTCTGATTTGTCTATCAGGGACAAGTTTCAAGTCATATCCTTACATTTAGTACGTGCACAAGTCATCACAACCATACGTTCGTTACTCAGACATAGTACGGGACTCAGTGCACAAGCACATAAATGTACGCTGGGTACAAACGGTACGAGCAGACATTTACCATACTACCGTAATTTATTCTGACATATGTTACAGACTCAAAAACCCAAACTCAGATCCCACAGTATATGTGACGTACCAGAACAATTCTTACGCCATCCAAAGGTATTGGTAGGTGACTATACCGTAAGCACACAATACGGTCGTGGAGGATTTTCTGCAGCAGCATGTCAGTACAAACTCGTGTAGCCAAGGCCTGCCATTCTGTCATCCATCATCTGTTTTAGGCCGAACCAGCCACTTGGCAAATAGTAGGGACTCACCTGTCACCAGTCTAACAAATAGTTTCGCCACTTCGGCACTAGTTAAAGCAACTGTATACATCCTCAAGAGGAACTCAGGATTCCTACATAAAAACATATATATTTCAGTACGTCCCTAGTTCCAGAAGAAGGAGATGACATTTCTATCTCAAGTACTCCAACTAGGACTGCCAACTCTACAACAAGGAGATTCCGGCAGGCCATCTTCAAGTAGATCATGGACCATCCCACGAATTATGCAGGGCAACATACCCTTTACACCTACTGCCCGCAAACCAAAACTATGCAGACTAATGCTATACTAACAAATCAGATACGGGGCAAGCACAAGTGGCACGAGCAATGCCAACCGGTATACCAGGATCATCTCTATAGTAACATCATGAGGCAGATGACCGATAAACTACAGAGACTGGAAACCCGTAGTTGTCCAGTCATGACACCAGAAACCACTCACACTGATATTTCGGGCCCTCCCCATTCCCAACCCGGTAATTCCAACACGCCCATCTTCTTAGGCCCTCAAGTCATTACCCCAACCATATGGTACCGGCAAACCTCAAAGGACATCCTGGAGGGCAAAGACAATCTCGTATCGCTTATCATTGCCTCCCAGGATGTCACAGTACACCGTCCATACACCTAGGGCGACATCTCAGTGGTTATTGCAGGCCAGAGACACAAGACTGGAAAGACTATTGATCAGTATTGTTGTGGACTTCCTGGTCTTGTGTACAGACACTACTGCATGCCACATCTCTCAGCCTATATTCCGGGAAAATTGGGTCCAGTACGTCTACCCTCAGGTCAGTTGACTCAGCACGTATATAGTATATTTAGTCATGGCATTGCGGCACCTCTATCATGTTCCCCATGTAGCCCCTACAACGATCATATGTTACGCTGTGGGTTGCTGTTGATGTCAGTGTGGCCATATTTCAACTAGAAGAGCTTCCGCGATTCTCACTGTGAAAATCACAGTGAGAAGATGCTGAACGTCCATAGGAAAGGATTGAGTAATGCTTTCCTATGGGCGGTTTGAATGCGCGCGCGGCTCTTGCTACGCATGCGCATTCAGAGCTGAGAGGCGGATCGGGGCGGAGAGATCCCCAGCCAATGGATTCCGGCGCTGGAGAAAGGTAAGTGCTGAAGACACACACACACTCTCACGAACAGATGCATACACACGAGCTAACAGACACACACACACACTCTCAGGAACAGATGCATACACACTAGCTAACAGACACACACATTTACTGACAGACACACACTCAGTGATAGACATACATACATACACACTCACTGACAGACAGACACATACACACTCACAAAACACACACTCACTAACAGACACTAAACAGACTCACTAACAGACACACACAGTATCACACTAACACACACACACTCACTAACAGACACTAAACAGACTCACTAACAGACACACACAGTAACACACTAACACACACACACTCTAACACACACACTAACACACACTTTTAAAAAAAATTAATCCCCCCAGCCTCCCTACCTTTGGGAGTGCTGAGGGGATTCCCTGGGGTCCAGTGGTGTCACCTGGCAGGCAGGCTGGCTGGCGGGCGCGTGAGGGTGCACTCTCTCCCCTGTGTGCTCCCTCTTCAGCTCCCTCGCACGCACCGCACTGATGCAGGAGCCAGAAGACGAGGACGAGAAAAGCTGGCTCTGATAGATTTAAGGCAGGATCCTAGTATTCTAATTCGACCAGCGGATAATTGCGGAACCACAGTCATTCAGTCATTACACAACTATCAAAGTGAAATCTATCGTCAATTGAATGATTCCAATACCTATGCCAAGCTCACCTTTGATCCAACATTAACATTTTAGAAAAGATTAAAAAAATCACATTGATTTGGGGACACAATGTGAATATCTGGATATGAAAACCGCCCAATTTTTATTTGTTGAACATCCTAAACACCCTGTGCTGTACACACTACCCAAGATACATAAAGACCCAAAAAAACCTCCAGGAAGACGCATAGAGTCAAAAAAAGGAGAAGCAGAGATTTGGAAGATCCAATGAGAGAACCAAAAAGGAACCCATATAACTAAAAATCTATCTACCAATAACTTTTCATACGGGCACATCCAAAGTTAGACAATCGATCAACAAATATTGGGGACTGCTACGCTCCAATAAATCATTACCCAAAACGGTTCATGATTTACCAGTGATGAGCTATAAAAGGAACAGAAACAAGAAGGACATGTTGGTGAAAAATGGTCCGTTACAGTGTTATCGCAAACCCACAACAGTTTTGAAGAAGGGATACTACAAATGCAGTGGATGTGTGACATGCAGCCACATGGTCAGTGGTGCAACTTTTGCACATCCTCATAATGGTCAGAGAATTAAGATATCTCAGTATATAACTTGCACCACTGACCATGTGATATACATGATCACATGTCCTTGCGGACTGTCCTATGTTGCCAAAACCAATCTGACACTGAGAGACCGAATACGTGGACATCGATCCACCATCACCACTATGTTTTGGGAGCAGCAAAATGACAAAACAATTGCCAAACATTTTCTCAGCATGGAACATTGACTACCCCCTCTACGTTTCACAGCCATAGACCACATCCCCCCTCTACCTAGAGGAGGAGATAGATCCAAAAATGCTATTACAGCATCTGGATACTGTAACACCTAGAGGACTAAATGGAAATATAGTATTCTCTGTGTTCCTCTGAACATACCATATGATATGTGATTTTGTTTCAGGCCATGTAGATACTTTGGTTGGTTAATTAATTATTCTTTGGAACTATATTGTTTATTATTTGGTTCCCTAATCAATATATTTTTTGATAGCAACGTTGACCTTTCTGCCCCTTAGTCATATCCAGTATCAAGACTCCATGTAGGACAGATTTTAGTCTAGGTAGACTTTTTTCCCTACTTATATGTCAGTATACTCCTATCTCTATAGAGAGAATAAACTGTGCCAATACAACCTCTTCTGGTTTTAAATTCATTAGATGAGGAGTAATACTATTTTGCAAAATTAAGAGGATACGTATAGAGTTAACTCCACAGCAGCACAGAAAAACAACCAATCAGAAAAAGTTAGGTACTATAAAACTCCCCTCCCCATGAATCATTTCCTCTTTCTTTGATGCTCCACATCAGTACTTCTAGTTGGTGGCTTTGGGATTTATTTATGATTTATGATTTATATTACTTATATTTAGTTTATTTGGTCCTGGGGATACCTTTTCAGTTGCTTCCCCTTGTAATTTCCCCCTGTTTTAGGCTCTGAATTACTTTTAATTAAGTTGCAGTGAGTTTCTAATGAGATTCAAACTTCGCAGAAATCCATGTGTTAAAGATCTGTTATTTTAAAATAAAACATTGCTGGAAACTCCAGATTGGACATACTATTGTCCCCTTTTTCAGTCTGTCTATATATGTTTATTTGTTATGTTTTCCGTCTACAATTGTAATTCGGGTAAATGTTATTAGAATAAAATCCATTTTAGAAATCACCTTTTATTGAGTGTGCTGGTTGTCTTTGACAATGTGCTTTTCTGTGTGTGTGCCATTGAACTATCCATATTTCATACACACAGGAGACACGCAGTATATGCACATTCTATTCTTGTGTTTTGATATGTGTTCCTTACATACAGGGCTTTCTGTCAGTTTTCCCACCCTTTTCACCCGCGAGCTGCGGGTGCGCCGCTCGAGGTTTCAGGTGGCTAGCCGTTTGGCTGCCTCTTCTGAATCCTCGAGCTCCAATGTGAGCATACTGGCATCGTAGGTACTCGCGGTTGGACACGAGTACCAGGCGGCCGGATCCGCTTGCGCACATGGCCGCCTTATCGCGACCGGCTCCTTCTCAGAGCCGCGGGCGTCCGACCAGCTAGAGGAGGGTGCGCCTACTCGCTGCCCCTCCTCCACCCACGGTGGTCGGATATCGTCAAGGTTGCCCTGCGGGGATTCACCGGCTGATTTTACAGGTTTACTGTAGTTTAGCTACAGATATGAAGGTTTATATCCCAGGTATCTGTGAGTTTTCAAGGACAGTGTATATATATATATCACAACGTGCAGTGAGTTTTTCATGGCAGTTTATATCACAGATTTCTGTCAATTTTTACTGACAGTGTATATCTCAGATTACTGTGAGTTACATGTATATATGAACTCAGTTATACAGGCTCTGTACAGGGTGTATGCAGAGTCAGTGTGCTAGTTAGCTCTAAGATTGATGTTGCTTCACAGTAGATATATGCTGGTCCAGCTATGGAGTCTCAGATGAGACTACTCTGGTATGAATTCACTGTCCATGGCATATATAAAAGCTAAGCAGACCTGGCTCTGGCTCAAACTGGTATGGGAGACCAGTCTATGCTGATACTATTCTATTTTATAGGAGATTCATTGGTGATATGATATGATGTTGATAACCCATAATAAAGATAAGAAATCTCAAACAGATCTGTATGTGCATGTGCGTACCCATTCACAGTTTAAGGAAGGTATCGCTCAGTATATCTTGATTTTTTGGACACTATAATCACTGGAACAACTTCAACTTATACCCAATACAGCTGAAATACCACTTTTTGCCTGCTGGGCATTTACGGACTGCCAGTCCCGGTTAGGGTTTATTCATACAGTATTACGCTGTCTAAAAGTGTCTAGAGGTCCTATGTCACAGGATACCCTGAGGATTTACAGATGCCCAAGCTCAAGGGTCCCCATTACTAATTTTATACACAACCCAGGATTGGCCTGCTCTGTTTGTGCCCCCTTGATTGGCCTGCTCTGTCTTTGCCCCATTGATTGGCCTGCTATGTCTGTGCCCATTTGATTGGCCTGCTATGTCTGTGCCCTTCTGTCTGGCCTGATCTACCTGTGTCCATCGGTGGCCTGATCTATTTTTGCCCGAACCCCTTTTTGGCCACAGGCCTGGGAAAAAAATCACTGAGGAAAGCTCAGTACCCACTATTGACTGGGTGTCCAGGCAAGCACTGCTGCCATACTATCCAAGAGGACACCAGGATACGGGCACCTAACTCTGATTGAAAGTCTGAGTGAAGGCCCTACACCTCATGCCCTGAGGGGCAAAGCTTTTATGAAGATTCCTGGGTATGCAACCACGGTCTACAACAACCTGGTGGCGGCTCATCTCCAAGGGGAATTTCACACAAGCAGGGACCAGTGCTCAGACACCAACAGGGGAGCACGGTTTCCTTGCCTTCAGCAACTAACACTTTAGCTGCCTTTCCGGTATCCATCTTAGGTATTGGTAGTTATTTCCTACGTCATCTTTAGCTCCTGACCCATTCAGTTGGGTTTACTTGACTTGCTTTTCCGATCGGCTATTTACCTTCTCTCCGAGGTACGTATTTATCGTTATCTACATTATTTGTCGTTTCTTTGTTTTCGTGCCTTTCAATTGTCCTGTCGCTTGGGTCGTCGAGAGGCCTGACTTGACCTCCTCCAACCTCCCGGGCTCTCGTGGATCGCGGAGAACGTCTCCAGCTTTCCTCAGGCTACCGACTGTCATCCTGGATCCCTCGCGCACCGTTTCTGGGCGGTCTGTTGACAGTTTCCATCTGTTTCCGAAGATCGCATTTTCTCATCATCCCTTTCTGTTATTAAGGATGGACACGGCCCGAGGTTGTATACTATTCCATCTACCATCGGTCTGGTGTATTACCAGTGGACACCATCTCTCAGGTGAGCCATTTGGGGAGGTCTCGTGGTCATATCTCACCCTTATGCTGATATTAGTAAATGGATCAGGATCTCACCCTTATGCTGATATTAGTAAATGGTGTACCCCCACAGTTGGTCATTCTGAGTCTCTAATGGACTCTAGTTTGGATTGCAAGAGGGTGCGGCCCTCCATTGCCTCTGCTCGAGACTGATACTTTTATTTTCACGAGTAGAGAGCGAACCCCTCTCATACACTGAACTGGACACTGATTCATGCTTAGAGGGCACGGCCCTACCTCAGCCTGATACTGAGTTGGATACAGAGGACTTGTTTTGAGTGACACATTCTCATAGGGGGAACCGGACACGGAAGGAGACTTCTAATGTTTGGTTATTAACGGGTGCGGCCCGCTCATGCTATCAGCGGGACGCTGACACGGAGTCCGGTCACATTATTAGAGAGTGTGGCTCTCTCATACTCTCAACGCACTACGGTGCTGTCAATTTGTTCATCACACAGGCTTGTACCTGTACAGGACAACGATGACTGCATAGAAGGCGTTACTTCGGCATTCAATTAGATCGTGCAGGCTGCCTGATCGTGCAGGGTACACATAGCTAGACTGGATCCCTCTATTTCACATCCTATAATGGATCTACTGGATCCGGACCACTGTATCCCACGCGAGAAATACTCGAAGAGGTACAACTGGGGGAGATTCCTCGCTTATTTACACACACTCCTGGAGACGGTACAGCTAACGGATGAGCCTCAGTTATTACAAGAGTGCAGGTTTTGGTATAATCTGCACTATATCAAACAGACAATTGCACTCTGTGTAAGATAGTCAGACCATGGCGAAGAAGCAGACAGTTCTTCCCATGTCAAGGTGACATGAGATCCTGAGGCCTTCATAGAGCAAACAGGCACTGCCTTGCTCAGGTAACAAGACTAGGGAAAGCCTGCAACCCGGTCTGCAGGTACACCGTGCGCTTGGATCGCATGGAAAGACCGGAATCCTCGGTTGACTTGGCTTCCCTGGTCATTACAATCTTGGCATAAAATGACAGGACTTCCCCAACTCTTCTGAGCACATATCTTGAGAACATGGTTCCGATATGGAGGGCCCTCCTTCTATATTCGATATCCCTCACGGGAACCGTCTTGGTTCGGTTTCTCGCTAACCCACCTATTAAACTACCATCAAGGAAACCTACGGTGGACTCTATGGAGGAACCCTGTGTGTCCCGGCTCCTACACGGACGTCACAAGTCGGGACGCAACCTACCGTTGGAGTACTGTTCAGGATGTGCAGCAGGCTCAGATAGCGCTGTCAACGTTCTCAAATGAGACTACAACTGCTTAGGATGGTTGAAACTTCACCGTTGTTTTTTCATTATATCTACTCTCTGGAGTCACCTGTCGTGAGTGAAGGGACTTTATGTCTTGCCTGCATATTAGAGAATGCTAGGTGTTCGCAGGACTCCAAGCTAAGAAGGGAGGTATCCCTCTTTAGCGAGGCCTTGACTTCGGTTCTCAAATTCTCATTCCTGGGTCCTTTGACCTAGGGCCTACTCTGGGAGATACGTGCCCGGACAGTGAGGGATACAGGGATCTAGGGGTCCCACTATATTATACCCTATCTTGTAGGTGGCGTGTAGACCAGGAACCCCTACACAAATTTTGATAGTTCGGCATGGAACAGGATCGTACAAACGGGTAAACGGATTATTTCACTCTCTCACTACAACACGTGAGGACTCTTCTTTTTTATACAGGTCCCAATCACCATTGGATCCGGACATCTTATCACTCTTAGACGATGATATATCTGGATGGAAATCTCAACCCTGGTTTACGTTTCCATCCTTTTGAATATTTCTGGGATTCACAATCCCCAGAATAAT